CTGCCCAGGGAAGTGGTTGAGTCACCATCCCTGGAGGTATTTAAAAGACGTGTAGATGAGGCGCTTAGGGACATGGTTTAGTGGTGGACTTGACAGTGCTGGGTTAACAGTCGGACTTGATGATCTTAAAGGTCTTTTCCAAACTAAATGATTCTATGATTCTATGGTATACAGCCCAGGCCACCCCCAGGAGGGACCGGGTCCCACCGTGGCCACTGCATTAGCAGGCAGGGTGGCTGTGAGCCTGTTGTCACAGCAGATATTTGGTGCCTCAGGAAAGGGGGCAAGCGCAGGTGGCTGTAAGGGGCTCAGCAGGCAGTCAGCCGTTGGCTGGTGACCTGGGGCTCAACCTAGGCTCTCCCCGAGGAGAAAACATCCATCACCTCCTTCTAACCCACCTCTGTTTTTCCAAGGAATTGGGTCTTTTGTCTACCTTGTGTATCTAAAGTGGCTCTGAATAAAAGCCTGGTTGAGACTCATCCCTAAAAGTGTCTAGAAGTCAGCAGAAAATAAAAAACGAAGGGAAGAGTCCAGTTTGTGGCGGCCTGTTTTAAAACAATTATACACATCATCCCACTGTCCAAACTGTAAGTTGATCTGAGCTAAAGGGTCTAGAAACTGGAATGCATCTACCTGCAAAACGCTGTCTCCATGACATGACATGTGGGTGCTGTGAGGAAACACAAGCCCACGGCTCCTACCCGGGCAGAGGCCAGGACAGCAGAGGACCCAACTCTTGCCATGGCCTTCACCTTGGTGGAACGCCTGCATTTGTGTCTTTAAGATTAATTATGTCTTTTTTCATTCTAGACCTTTTTCCTCACTTCTTGCCTCTGTTTAATTGCTGCAGCAATTAACATGTCTCTGTTCAATACCAGCCGGGTCTCCGTAGCGGAGGCAGCTGCTGGCCGTACCCCATTTCCCCAGCAGCAATGCTTTCAGATCCAGCACAAAGTGGGTGCTGTGTTTTCCTTTACTTTAAAACATTTTGCTGGAAAAAAATCCTGTGAAAGGTGTTTTCCTTCAAAACCCAATAAACCCAAGTAACATCCAGGAGATACCCTGAGGCACCGCGGGACAATGTGAACCATGTGAAGTTGTCTGAAGTGAGACAGCAGGTACTTTCATGGTTTGAACAGAAGACATCCTTGACGTTTACAAAATGCTTTGCCATTTTCATCAAACATTGCTGTTCCGCGGTTGATCCTACCCGAGCTGTGGTCTCTGCTTGCAGGCGCCGCGCTCTGAAGCGTTTGCACTGCCACCATTAACAACCCCTGGAAGTTCATCAAATCCAGCAAGGCGACCTGCAGAGGTCAGCGCTTTGACTCAGCTTACGAGACCACGGCGCAGGTTTCTCCTCCCACAAGCTCTCCGCTTTGCCTGGTTGCAGCACAGCCACTGGGATCACACGCCAGGCTGTTACGTATTTGTATGGCATTGTAGTGTTTAAGTACAGCATTGTAGGTTTTTTTCACCGAGGCATTTAAAATAATTTCTTAAAACACGCACTGCATTTGTGTAGGTTTTTGACATTCATCGAGCATCCCCACGTCCTCCTGTAGCTCTTCCCCTTCAGCGATCAAGCCACCTTCAAATCAGAACCACTTGCCGTTATTCTTTCCAGCTTTTTTTTCTTATTTATCATCAGATTTCCAAGGAAAAGCTTCCCAGATGTGTAGAGAAAGGAGCTATGAAAACATAACCAGGCTGCAGCTTCTTCCTTTTTACATGAGAGCACCTCCCTTCATTCCAGAAACACCCGCCCCTGAACTGGATCAGACACCCACATTTTAAGCTCCATCGCAGCATACCCAAACCTGCTGAAGGGCTGCGGAGTTTTTAATTGCTGCATAAATTCAGATGACTCAAGAGGCCAGAAAAAACATACAATGGCAAGCTTTACTGTTTGTATTTGTTGAGGGTTCAGTTACGTCAGAGGAGTACATAAACAGAGCAAGGGTCCTCCATCCGCCGCGAGGGCACTGCAGCAGCACCACCCGTGACGCTCCCGCCCAGCCCACCAGCACCGACTGTCCGGTGAAGCCAGGACACGCGCGGCCAAAGCCTGGGGCCCCCCGCGGGGACGCCCCGGGAGCTCAGCGATGGCACGACACCAAATCTCACCTGGCTCGGGTTTCGGCTCAGCGGCACTCAAAAGCTTTCTCCAATTCAGCACAGACCTTGATTATCCAAGCTGGTTCCTTACAGCCCACAAGGCACTAACAGCATCTGCCACCACTCTCTTCATCAAGAATGATTATCAATCGGTGTTACTCGAGTCAAACCCTGCTATCCCACCCTTCCACTCTGGAGAGTGCAGGGTCACTTCAGGTCCCACCGAGGTCAGGGACCAGCTGAAACCTCCATTCCAACTCCCACCACATCCCCTTCCAACGGCAAGTCACATTACCGCTCGTCAGGGAGTTTTGGTTTTTTACTCTTCAGCCTCCCCGTTCCCATTTCCCGATCCCCAGCGCAGCGTGGTTAACTGCTCACGAGCTCCTGCATCCAGCAGCCTCCACCTCACCACATAGTACTTCAGCAAAGGCTTCCCTTCAGCCAGTGTTTTTACAGCATATGGGAACCTCTCCGTGACATGTTTCAACTCATTAATACTACAGTATTTCCACCTAGTGCAAAGCTGGAATGAAAGCACATTCCGAAAGACTTTAAGCAAGCTCGTGTGTCTGAAATTACTAGGTTTGCTTAACATGCTTAAGCCTTTCAAAAGTCAAGTCTACCCCCTAACTGGATGATGAGACCCACACTAGCCAGAACACTTTTCAAGCCCGTTCCGAGGGCTGCAGGATCAGCAGCGACGTTGCACCACTGCCCACCACGCAGCCATCCCCCCGTCGGAGCAGGCTGCTGGCCTTTGACGAAACCGTAGCATTACCCTCCTGCTGTTACTCCGTCAGTGCAAAAGCACCGGGGTCGGGACCTGGCAATTACTGGGCACAGCTGCACTCTCCAAGCCTCTCAGCTCAGAAACAATGGCAGTTTTGCATTACACATGTACGCTTACACAACCTTAACAGCTGCGTAACATCTGCAGACTGGCATTGAACTTCAGCCAGTGCTTCAGCTAGTTATGGTAACACTTACACAACCTCAGGAAAACCACAGCTGAAGGATTAGATACACATGCCTGGCAAGCGTCAGCCTTGTGTAAGGCAGTTTTGCAATACCTTTCTGTGTGGAATTGGAGTAATGCAGTTCTAGTTTATTAACTTGACACGTGAAATTTTGTGGATGCAACAGCTTTATTGGAACGAACAAGTGCAGACAAACTTTTACTTGGAAGCAACAACCAGCCCAGCCAGTTCAGTTACCACCCCTCAGGCGCAGCACAAGATGCAGGGTGGACTCCTTCTGGATGTTGTAGTCGGACAGGGTGCGGCCATCTTCCAGCTGCTTGCCAGCAAAGATCAGCCTCTGCTGATCGGGGGGAATGCCTTCCTTGTCCTGGATCTTGGCCTTGACGTTCTCAATGGTGTCACTGGGCTCAACTTCTAAGGTGATGGTCTTGCCTGTCAGGGTCTTCACAAAGATCTGCATGCCACCTCGCAAGCACAGAAATCACTGTACTGTAGTCACTTTCCCCATTCTGTACTCGGACAGGGTGCGCCCATCTTCCAGCTGCTTGCCAGCAAAGATCAGCCTCTGCTGATCGGGGGGAATGCCTTCTTTGTCCTGGATCTTGGCCTTGACGTTCTCAATGGTGTCACTGGGCTCAACTTCCAGGGTGATGGTCTTGCCTGTCAGGGTCTTCACGAAGATCTGCATTTTTCTCTGCAAGGACAGAAATCACTGTGCTTTAGTCACTTTCCCCCTTCCTTCCCGTGGGAAGCTGCAGCGAAGCCAAGCAGCAGGAGCCCAGCTCCCTCCAAGCAGCACACCGGTGGGGCTGGGCTCCCTGGGAGCAGCCCATCCCCCGCTCCACGCACTGTGACGTCAGAGCGGAGGAACCGCCCACATCCTCAAGGGAGGCGGGGCCACCCGCCCCCTTCCCCTTCCCGCCGAAGGCACGCGCGCCCGCCACCATCTTGAGGGAACGCCGCGCCCGC